CAAACAAATTTGCATCTGAAGTCGGTCAGACTTTTAAGCGGGCTTGTGCGCAACCAACGGCGAAACTTTCAAGCGGAAATAAACGGCGCCGCGTGTGGAAATGGCCTAAAGTTGAGATGTATTTCACTTTCCATCTAGCCGAGGAACATTCGATTGGCCTGTCAGTACATGAAACACTTTAGCTTTGCCTGACTCGCGGCTGGCACGGTCTGATTTTATTTTCAGGAATCCCCTCGTGAACGAGGGAGAACTGCCGCAAATTATGAAGACAAAACACCAGGACCCCGAGTCCCACCCATCATTCAACAGCGAATGAATTTATTGCTCAATAACGTAACGGATACCCGGAAGTATACGGATACCTTTCGGTAACACCTTTTAAAACACAATACGGGAAGTACCGTATTGGCCCGAATATAAGACGGCCCTGATTATAAGACGACCCCCTCTTTTTCAAGACTCAAGCTTGAAAAAAGTATTTTTGAACACTAAATTAATTTTTATACAGAAAATAATTACAGTACATCTGAAACAAATTATTATAACAATATATTTGAAAGAAAAAGCATGTTATTTTGCCTCATTCAAATCTTAATATCTGAACATTTAAATATGTAAACTAAAGTGCAATCACATTCGTAAATGAATAGCTTCTGGTTTTTGAAATCTAAGTTACATCATAACTTCTCCTCAGCTGCCGATCTTCGACCCACTTTTCTCCAGATTGTCGCTACGCTTCTCCATTTTCTGTTATCTCTTCTATTATTTTCTTCTCTTTTCTTTCTTACCGCTATTTTTTATTTTTCTTCTTCGTGCTACCGCTATTTTTCTTTTTATTCTTCGTGACGGGGGTTCACTTTTGCCTGCGGAGTCAAATTCAGCATTCGCTTTAATGATATCTGGCGCCACCTAGCGTCGTGAATGGGTATAATGTCTAGACCCCGAATATAAGACGACCCCCACTTTTTCAGTCTTATTTCAATGCAAAAAACACTGTCTTATATTCGGGCCAATACGGTATGTCCCTTTTAGTGTGCTTTGCATAAAAATGTCAACCTCTGTGTCGGCCGCGGGTGCAAAGGTGTTCACCAAAAATCAACATGAGTGACCGAGCGGCTGGACAAAAGCGTGGCAGGTCACCGTTAAGGCTAACCAGTCGATCGGGGTTAATTTCCACTTGCATGCTGTTTTCTCTGCTGTCCTTCCATCTGCCCCGGCCCGCTTCTATCGAGGCGATTTTTAGGAGATGTGTGTGCTGCTTGCAGGTCTGAGAGCTTGCATCAGCACGCAGCATGCTTTGGCAACCGGGCAGCGCACCACCGTCATTTTCTGGCTCAAACACATTGCCAACCTTCCAACAAAATAAGGATTAGAGGCCCGCAAGCCACCCCGAAACCCCCAATTTCTTGCTCACTGGACTCTCTTCAAGAAAAGGATTTTGCGAAAATAGACCCCGACTGTTTTTTTGGGGTTGTTTTTTTTCGCTTCTTGCCATTGGCAAGATGAAAAAGGACAGAGTCAGGTCACATTGACACTCGAGCAAGACTTTTTTTAAGACGGACATCAAAGGCTGCAGGCTTATTGGATTAAGATGATTCCATGCTAATAAATACATCATTATCAAAAACAGCGACGCATAATTCCTGGCTGGTGTGTTTGGCCTGCAAATAGAATGCTTTTGTGTGTGTGTGTGTGTGTGTGTGTGTGTGTGTAGCTTTTGGCCAGCACATTTACAGAGATAATTAAGACAAGAACGACTCCTGCAAAGGCGTGGCATGTCCATGTTTATATTTGCGAGTAGGTCTGCATTGATGGCGGCCTGGTGATCGAGTGGTTTGCGCATAGACCTCACAGTGCAGAGGTACCGGGTTCGATTCTAGCTCCGGCCTCCCTGTGTGGAGTTTGCATGTTCTCCCCATGCTTGCGTGGCTTTTCTCCGGGTACTCCGGTTTCCTCCCACATTCCCAATGCCCCAATTCCCAAATGCCCTGCGATTGGCTGGCAACCGGTTCAGGGGGCGCCGCCTACTGCTCAAAGACAGCTGGGATAGCACGCTCCACGACCCTTGTGAGGATAAAGCAGTTCAGAAAATGGATAGATGGATGGATAATTAAGACTCCCAGGAGGGTGGGGCATGTCCATGTTTATATTCGTGCATGGGTCTGGCTTGATGCAAAGTTGCACGTACCAAATGGCAGGAAGTGAGGGAAAGGTGGTGGATATATTTGACCCGAGGTAGGTGCAAATCTGCAATATAGGGAAACCGTATAAAAAATCTTTTTAAAAATGGTTTACCCCTCCTGCATGTACTAAATGCCTGTAAGCTCATTCAAACACAAAGAGTTGAAATGATTTTTTTTTTTTTGTGGCGTGCAAATTGCGGACTTGTTTTTGAACTCGCATATTTCCTGGGACTTGCAGCCAAACTTCAAATATTTTGTTGAATCGTCCGACGTAAAACTTTCTAGCCGTTTGTTGCCTTGAAAGTTTGAACTTTATATTTCTTGATCGATCGACTGATTTGTATATTTCTTTATGTTTACAGTGGAAGAGTCAAGTGAGGCCGATCCACTGTGTAACATGTAGGAAGTGGTTCACGGGGATAGAGGGGGATTTGTTTGGGTGGGGGTGAAGGAGGATGCATGACGTGCATTGGGAGAGGGGTGGGGCATGGGGGGGAGCATGTCAAAAAGATTTTTCGATTTTGAGTGCATGCGTGTTTATACCTGGTTTGCTTTCAGATCACATCTCCACCCCCCGCACCCCCCCCCCCCACTTGCCCTGCTTGTCCTCTGATGCTTAACAGCATACACACACACACACACACACACACAGGCGCGCACACACTTGCCATCATGCATCCAATCTGCCTTTTAGATGACTTATTCAACTTTACTCAGGCTGCCTTTGAAGTCGGTAATGTTTTGCTGTTTAATAAACGTCTGAAAAGTGCATTCGGATTGTGGCTCTCCCACGTGCGAGGCCGTGATCTTCACTTTGGCCCTCCTCATCCTCCTCCCGCTGTTGCATCCTCACGTGCTTGGTGTTGGATGGAACCTTTTTTTTTTTTTTTTTTTTAGCCGCTGTCCAAGGTGCTGAACCTCGGTGAGAACGTTCCTCGCCTCGTGTGCAAAGAAAACAAATTCCAAGACTGACAATAACTACGCATGCCGGTTTGAGTAATGGTCTTAACGGTGGGCTTGCTACGTTTTTTGTTTTTTTTTGAGGTGGCACTTGGCGTTAACAGTCTGAGAATCACTGATCTAAGCGTTCGCTCATGCCGGTTTTTGTCAAACACACGCCGACGGTCACGATTGCGGTTCGTTTCATCAGCTCGCTTTCATCAGGAGACGTCTCCCCAAAGCATGCAACTATTGTGCACACCTTCCGCGGCGACGTGACGACAGAAGACGGTCATCAAAACGATCGATAGCGAAGCAAAAACAGTCGTGCAAGCGTGCTGCACTGGGAGCAGTCTGAATCTTGTTTTTTTTTTAATTTTTTTTTTTTTAAACTTTTAGGGGAGTGATAGAGCCCTTGGTGTTAAAACCTGCCTTCCAGGGAACATTCTCGCGGGTGCCAGTGTTGAAGCCGACTGCCAAGAAAAATCAGGACTACTGTAGGAGTTCACTTCGGCTGTCCCTCTGGGTGTAATCTGATGATATGTTCCTAAGGTGTGTAAAACAAATTTTTTGAGGGTACCACGATCCGCGTCAAGCCTGAAGAACGGTGGCAAGGTGCACTATACGGCCAAATTTCCCCCTCGCAAAAATGTAATTGGTGCACTTTTTGAAGGTCAGCACTCACCTGGAGCTGAGTTGGGTTCTCAATGGTGTGGATTGGTTTGAGGTTGTTGGGGTCATACTAAAGATATTCTTTTTTTTTTACAGCTTTCAATGTGCCAGTAGAGACACAAAAGAGACTTCCGTGCATCCATCCATCCATTTTTTTAATCCGCTTATCCTCATGAGGGTCACGGGCGTGCTAGAGCCTATCCCAGCGATCTTCGGGCAGTAGGCGGGGGAACACCCTGAACTGGTTGCCGGCCAATCGCTGGGCACACACAGGCGAACGCTCACACTCACACCTTGGGACAATTTAGAGTGTTCCATGAACATGTTATGCATGTTTTTGGAATGTGGGAGGCAACCGGAGTACCCGGAGAAAACCTCCGCAGGCACGAGCAGAACATGCAAACTCTGCAAACCCTGCACCTCTACACTGTGAGGCGGACGTGCTAACCAGTCGCCCACCGTGCACAAAAGAGACATAAAGCTGTAAAGTTGAATTGATTTCAATGTAGCTGAAAAGGAGATAATTCACCCCGAGGGAACCCCACAATCGAGGGCTGCTATAGAGATTGGAATGCTCTGTGTTATACGATTGGAATAGAGAGATCGATAGAACAGAAGATGCATGTCAATCCCAAAGTACAAATTTTCCCCTTCGGTGCGAGTGAGACGATCAACCAGCGCATCTTTAAAATGATCCTGTGGCATTTCTGAAGCTCAAGGGGAAGCGTTTTGAAGCGTTTTGAAGTTGTGGATGACATCAAGATGCTGTGACGAGTTGTGTAGGTTCCCTACCGGGGAATGCATGAAAGCGTTACGGAGAAAGTTAGGAAAGTGTATTGACTCCAGGGGGGATTACTTTGAAGTAGTCTGGATTGGGAATACTTTATGTGACTCAAGTCCTGGAACTTTTCTGACACACCTTGTGCATAGACAGTGTATTAAAAAGTCTGATACATTACGTATACCCCCAACCCCTTTCCGTGGACTCTATATTCCAAGTCCACTCCAGCGCTAAACCCGGCAGCTGCCCCGGCCTCTAATTATAGCCCATGCGGTGCAGACTCCCAGGGCAAAAGTGGAGGTCAGGTTACCACTCTGGTTCTCACACATGCTCACGCAGACCCAAAGTTCGAAAGTAGCTCTCCAAAATCAAGCTCGTTTCCACTTCGCTTTGACTTTGTACCGAACGCCCAAGGCAGCTAGCTTTTAGCCACTAGTTGCTAATGCCGCTAACTGTTGAGAATGATTTTTTTTTTGCGAGTTAGCATGTCTCTGCCATTAGCTAGCTAGATAAGTGGATTTGACTGACGTGTGGCTTTTCATTACTGAGTATGATCCAGCTTTGTAGTTTTGTCAGGGAATAAAAGCGGCTGCAAGGGCTTGGGAGTTTTAACAGTTCAACCTTGGCACAAGTCGTTGCGATTCTAGTTGTAAGATAAGGAAGTGATCGCTTTCTCATCACTGCTTTGTCGTTATTCTTTGCCCTCTTTTTGGTGTGCCTTGCTTCCCCTTCTGCCTCGACTGTCTTATCTCTATTTTGGACCTCAGGGGGGTGGGGAGATGCCTGAAAGGGTGACCCCTCATCTTGTCTCGCTCTGAGTCCTGCTACAAAGTGAAGCTAACCAACCCGGACTGGAGACTTTCGTGGACACGGAGTGAAAAGTTGAGCCAACACTTTCCAAACTATCCAGAAGAATCAAAGGACGAACGAAGGTTGTGTTGTGTATTTTTAGAAACAGCTGCAACCCAGCTTGAAACGATTTTCTTTATTTATTTCTTTTTTGCTGCTGGGATATCGTTTTTTTTTTTTTTGTTTTTTTTCAGGATTTAATGAATGACTTACATGCTGGTTTCTATGGTAACAGCGCACCGGCCAAGCCTTTCAACTGACTGATGGTTATCACAGAACGCCAAACAAGCTCCAAGTCCAAGGTACTGTTGAAGAAGAAAAAAAAAAAAACTTTGGCAATAACAATCTGCTTCTGGTGTTCCAAACCTTATTCCCCCTGCGCAAGAAGTAATTTGCAGTGTCTTTTAAAAAGTCGTTAGAATTTAGCTGATAGAAGTCGGGGTTGTGTTGGGTCTGGGATTGTGACGCTGAAATTTATCAGGTGGAAAACTGCAGCTGAATGATGTTCTGGGAAATTCAATTAGCTGTGGGTGTGTTTTTTTTCATCAATATTACAGCAAAAGTAATGAACAGAACACTTGCCAGGGTGACTTCAATTTTAATAGGAGTGCTGTTGTCATTGCCGTTCTATCAAACTGGACCAAATATCTTTATATCTAATTTTACATCATACGATTTGACACCATGGATTGCATGTTGATTAAACTGCATCATTAAAAGGAAACAAAAGTATCGGCTCGAAAAAGTAATTTTGGACAAAAGTCACAAACTAAACAATATGTTGCCATAGCTTTGATAACTTGATGACCTCAGTTCTCTTAAAACGTGAAAACAAACACACTGAGTAACCATTCTGGTCATAGTTAGAAATAGCTCGTCCTAACAAATGGCTGGAGGTCAGCAGTTGCTGGGCCAGCACTCGGCAGGCTGCATCTGCTCATGTAAAGACGTCATATTCGCGGGGGAATGGACTTGCGGCGAATAGCAAAGGTGGCAGGAGTGCCTCACGTGATTGAAATGCATGCTTTTACAAAAAGCTATTATTCGCCGTTTTTTTGCCCAGGAATTGCCATTTCCATGAAACTTAGCCATTTTATAATGCCGATTGCTGAAGAATGGAAAAAGATGAGAGTCCAAACTTTATTTCCATGTTTATACAGCATTAGAACCAAATATCCTGTGGGCCTTGCAAGATCAGTCAAAATCCAGTCAAACGCTGGGATTGAGGGGGTTGCTCTAGTGAAAATGGCTGGGATTGAATGAGTTAATAAATTAAACCCAACAACAAATTTGAAAGACACAGACAGGAATCTGTAGCTCTGTGAATACCCAACCATCAACACTGCATATGGGGGGTGTTGACATTCGTGTCAGCGGTCAAGCTAGTGCGTTGCACCACTGTTAAAACGGTGGATGGCCTTTTTCCCCCGATTCGTCATGACGGCAAGACTCTCTCACCTGCGGCGGGTCGATAACGTTGGCCTGTCGCAGTGCCGTTAAATCAATGTGGAGCTTTTATAGCAAACGCGCACGCACGCACGCACGCAAGCGTCACCGCTGTGCAAACATGTTAAATTGACGTGGAGGTTTGTTATCAATGCAGCAACGTATAAGGTCAACTTGATGGATAAATAGACTTTTTTTTTTTTTTTCTTCAATGCTCACCCTGAGACCTAAGCTTATGCGGTATGGTATGCTTTTTATTGTCAAACGAAACATACATAGGATTAAAGTTGAATTCCCAAAGGTCCACAGTTTTAAAAAGATGACAAAACGAGAACAATATTACAAGGCAGCTATTGTACTCAGAGCGGTAAGCTGTCATGTACGTATCGTGATAACATCATTGAAGAGAATGGAAAGAATTAAACAGTTTGAGCCTCATGATTAATTCACTGCGGCTCCTTGCATTTTTGTTGGGTGACTTGGCCACCGGGGGCAGTGTAATGCAGAACAAAGAAGTTTGACTCGGCGAAAATCAGTCGCCGGATACTTGCAGTTCAGCACCAGCAGATTTGCATATTTGCACATTTTGGTTCAGATTTTTTTTTTTATATATAAAAAAAATTGTTCATTTTTCGGCTTTAGTTTTTTGGGGATCGTTAACTCATTCAGTACCAGCCAATTCTAGACCAAGTCTGAAAAGACGTTTAAAAACGTCTTTGGGAGTGAATAAAATAGTGGGGTGATATTTGTCACAGAGCCATAGTAAGGGAATGCGAATTGAGCGTTAAGACAAGAACCCAAATATGGCTATGAAACTGAATTCAATCTTTGGGTGATCTGGGTCAGCATCTCCCGCTCTTCCATGGCAGCTCATCTTTCCGCCTCGTGCTGCTCTGGATTTTGATTTTGTCGCCCGCGCACAAAAGAGCACGCTCCAATGCTTCGCCGGAGCCCTGGCGAGCAAACAGCTGCCGCGTGGTTTAATCAAGGCTAACGCCAAAGCTAACGCCAACACAAAGCATTCATGGCGTGACACGACAAGCGTGCCCGCCTAGGGAGAAGATCATAGACCAGCAGAGAGCAAAGTATGGCATGGATTTATTCATTTCCCGTTACATCTTCGTTGATAATTTGTCAATAAGCACATTTGTAAATCATCTTTCGCCATTAATATGAATGGAAATGACCTTTATCCGTTCCAGCCTCCCCCAAAAACAAACAATATTTTGTAATGTGTTTTTTAATCCGAAAAATAGCGGCCTACAATATTGTACTTTATAAAAACAGAATTCAACAGTTGATCCATCATGATTAAGTCATTGCGTCGCCTTCTGGTGTGTGCGACTTGGCCACCAGGGGCAGTACAATACACTCTTAAAGACACAAAAGAAGAGTTTCACAACGAGTGCAAGTGACCCAATTATTGCAGTAACATTCTTCACAGAGGATAAAGAATGCCTATGAGTACTGTGGACCAGGAATATTTGTGAAAGATAGAAACCAGCCCGACCGCGAATAGCAAAATATATGACACTCATATTTGCCTCAATTTTATTTTTTTTAAACGTGAATAGACGGTGGATTGAATAAATAGATGACGTGGGGGGTTCTGCGAAAAACTGGTATATTTTCCTTCTAAAATCTGGAAATAAGTGAATTCACGAATGCTCATTCATGAAAATGCTTTGCGTCCAAATATCCGTTGCTGAGTGTTGTAACACCGATATAGATATATCAATGGAGATACTGTTCATTAGCTATGGCGCTTCCTCTCATGTATTAGCATATGAGACCCAATGTTGTTAAAAAAATACAATAAAATCCTCTCTTTGATCTTTTGACTCAGCTGCCTCCTCCACCGATGAGCAGCCAGACCAGCAGCGGGGAGGCGGTCGCTCCACCGCGAGCTAATCAGAAGACAATTTTGGACGACGTGATCCTGACCTTCAGCTCGCCCATGGCGTGGTTGCTGATGGTGGCGCTGATCATCACCTGGGCGGCCGTTGCCGTCGTTCTCTTTGACCTGCTGGACTACAAGACGCTGGCAGGTAGCGAAATTCTCCTTCACCTCCTTGCATTCCCCATCCCATAATAATCCCATCCAAATACGTTTACAATGTGAATCTTCCAGTCTCCTTTCATTGATATGTTAAAATGTCACCCCAGTGCTCATATTTAATAACCTTTTCATTGTCACCTTCCTCTTAGACATTTTTGAAGCAGACTTCAAAAGTGGACATCATCATTTTTTAACATCATGTGTTTCATTTGAAGAATCACGCACAAAAGAAGTTGAGATAGAACTGAAGTTCCGCCAACCGTATGTTGGTTCTAATGACCTTTCAAATTTGTGGTGAGAAGACGCCAAATCCAAGTAGGGAAGGCAGTGGGGAAACCAATTTTAATTCACACTGTAAGGTACAGGTGTCAAACCCAAGGCCCGAGGGCCAGATCCGGCCCGCCAGGTCATTTTATGTGGCCCGCGAAAGCAAATCATGTGTGCGTGTCAACTTGCTAAAATCTGTACCGAAATGAGCAATAAGTAACATTGAGATTCGGCAATAATTTTGTTACCCTGCTTACACTCACTTGAACAAGAATTGAACAAACTATTATAATTGACTTGACTGATTTCAAAACTAGTAATCTATTAATTTGTTGTGTACAAGTAATAATTTTGTGGTTTCTCTCATAACGGCCCTCCGAGGGAAGACGTAACTCCAAATTGGCCCGTGACTAAAACGAGTTTGACACCCCTGCTAATGGTACTAGCTAACTTTCCTAAGAACCATTTTTGGCGCCATGTTTTTATTTTTAGTTCAATTGTCATCATAGTCTGTTGTTGCGAAAGCAAAAAAAATGTAGCTTTTATTGGTGGAAACATTCTTTTTTTTAAACAGTTATTTTGAAAAAAATCTAGCTACACCGAGTTTTTTCGCAAAAAAAAAAAACTTTAACCCTTTCGGGGACAGCGGTTACTACAGTGGACAGCTTATCGTGTTATCATGTTTAAAGGGTGCATGAAAGGGTTAATTTTGTCCAATTTTGTGCATTTCCTTTTTTAAGTCACACATTTAAAACAGCATATGGTGTGTCTCCCACTTTTGGCCCGATGTACACAAAATGACAGTTTCAGAGGCGGGGGTTAATTTCATGCTGTGACATGGACACATGACTCCCCCTCCATGTTGGACGCTAACATACAGTCGCTGAATGACAACTGATGGAAAGGCCGGCTCGCTCCCATTTGTTTCCGATAAAGCCATCAAAATGTTATTTGTATCTTTTATCCAAGACGCTCGGAGGTGTGGCAGTTGGCAGTTGGTGTGGAGCGTGGTCATGAGACGGCACGTTTTTTGGGGCTGAGATCACAAAATCAAGGAAGCCCCTTTTCCAAAACCGTTCGATGATGTTGTCAGTGACAATAAAACGTCCGCCGCAGCAGCCTGCCGCCGCCGCCGCGACGGTCCATTCATCAAGTTTGAACAACCAGCTGGCTGCGAACAAATAACATTCACAAGTCATCACGCACTTTCGTAATAAGCCATGACATGTTGCATAGAAAAATATTCCCATGTACGCGCCTGAATGCTTCCCTGGCAATATGAAAATCTAGAAGCATTTTTAAAATATATACACACACAGGCAACCGGTGCCCCCCCCCCACCCCCGACACCTCCACAATCGCCGACCTCTTCCTTTGTGTCACAGTAAGGTGATAGATAACACAAAATCAGTGAGATCCAGGTCCAAGGTCAACTTCCTTTATCTCTGCACAAAAACAAAAGATTACACGGGGTTATTATAAAAAGAGAACGGCAAAAATATTAGGATTGCCATTTTTTCACTCTATGGCTCAACATCTTTTCTTATTTGGACACAAATTATATTTTTAAGGTCAAAGACTATGTTGAAAGTACCCAATTAAGGAAGTTTCAAACATCTATTTACCTGAAAAAAAAAAATCCACCATCTTATTTGATTCATTTCAAAGAGACCAAAATGTCTTGTTTTTAAACAATTCTACATCGTCATTGTCGATCATTAAAAGCCGTGGCAACAAAGCAAAAGCATTTTCTACAAACACTCTAAACGGAATTGACACGTAGCGGTCAAAGGTCGACCAACTTTTTAACCACGCCTCAAAAATCAATACCTTTGAATTTGTCATAAAAGTGGCGTACTAGAGCACGATTCACGTACTCGGATGACCGAGCTCCTTTTTCCATCAGTTGCTCTTTTATCTGTCACCATTGTGACTCCTCCACATATTTCACTCTTAACTCCTCTCCTCCTCTTCCTTGACCCCGCCCCCCCCCGACCCATCCTTTCACGCCTCCTCCACACATCCTCACGCCGTCCATCACCTGCCATCCACCCCCAAAGAGTACACGTCATACTGTGACGACCCCGTGTGTTTATCTGCCGGTAAAAACATTTGCACTTTGACTGCTTTGCTTGCTCGCATGTTGATGGTGAAAAAAATTTTTTTAAATGGTGGCCTTCCTTCCAAATCACACCTTGCCTCAATTTGTCACCGGAACAATTGAATGTGGTGGCTGAAGCAATCGTCAAATGCACAAGCCTTGGAATTCAATGAAAACGGCTGCTTCAAAACAAAATGGCTGAATTTGTGTTGAATTCCAAGCAGGCGTCCTTGAGGCCCTTTCGTGCGTCGTGTTATGATGAACATGTCCACTCGATTTTGTGTTGATTAACGAAACCGCTGTCAGGAGCTCATGTTTTTTTTTTGTTTTTGTTTTTTTTTTTAAACTTTATGGGAGGAAAAAAAAAAGTCAAACTACTTGTTGCAATTGCGCTGGAAACCGCTGATGAGAATGAAGGCCAACCCGAAGTGTGTCACTAGGCACTGTCATCACACCAACAACTAAAAAGAATCAGAAAAGATGAAATTCAGAGGAGAAAAAGCAGTTTAATGCTATCCCATTTTTCACCCACTGGTGTCAAAGTCAAGGTCTGTGGGCCAGATCTGGCCCGCCACATCATTTTATGTGGCCCACGAAAGCAAATCAAGCATGTCAAGTTCCATGATGCTTGCTGAACTCTGAACCAAAATTTCAAATTGTCATATGTAACCCACAATAACAGTCATTATTCTTGACTTCTGATTTTAAAACTAGTTATCCATCAATTTGTTGTTCGATGTGTATATGTAATATAAGTGGAGGTGATTAAACATTGATATGGTTTCCCAAAATTCATAACGGCCCTCCAAAGGAATCCAATTTCATAGATCAAATATTAGAAGATAGATTGTAAATGCTAGAACGATGGATTAATTGCAAGGACGGATTCCTGAGAGTCGGTGGATTTAGAAGCTTCATGAATCGCCTCGTCTCAGGGCGTTAGCGTTTGTTAGCTAACCCGCGTCCGCATCGCCGATGCCGCCGTTTTGCCATTCAATCCCCAGCGGGGGGGATGCCTGAATATGCACATTTGCAGCTACCATGAATCTGAATAATCCCCCCCACCCACCCCAACCACCCACACACACCACTCTCCCAGGTAGAAAATGCCGCCGCTGTCTGTCAAGAGCGGAGGGCGCCTAATGGCCACCTGTAAACAGCTAATTAATGCGCTGACATCTTTCTGGCTGGCACACAAAAGAAGTTGTTGTCATTTCACACTCGCTTCCTCCTCGCCTTCATTCATCCACGGATACTTTCAAGCGCACTGGTGCCTTGACTTCTGAGTTTAATTTGATGAATTTACAGTACTCTCGTACTGTTTCAAACTCTCCTCTGACTGTACCCCACCCTCCCAGCATGCATTGCATGGGTTCTCACCATGCAGCGTTTTAAAATCCCTTTTGTCCATGACACGCATTTAAAGGTTTTTGAAGTGTGCAGTGAATTCAAGGCACGTTTATGATTGCTTTTTTTTCCCCCCACCTCTCTTGGTTTGTCTGTCTTGAAGACGTGACATCAAGCCTCCCTTTTTCATAATTTCCGTTTGTTTCTCCCGCCCTCAGGTCTCCCGCCTCCTCCCGCCATCGCCAGGCGAGGTTTGAAGGCCAACAGAGGCAAGTGCACAAATGCAATACTCCTTTTGTGTTCAATTTTCCATTTCGTTCGTTTTTTTGTTTTTTTTTTGTTTTTTTTCTGAAGCGAAAACTGGAGGCGTTTTTTTTGAGGTAGGCGTTTATTTTTCTTAAGGGAACATCGCACCCAATTCGGGCCAGTATTTGAGAAAAGTCATGTTAATTTTGTGTGGCAACAAAAGTCCATGAACAGAAGTAAGTACAGTTGTTACCGTTTCATTTTTGTTGGGCAAAAGGGGAGGTGTTTATTTATTTTTTTATGTAAATGAGGCGTCCTGTGACTTCCACTATTTTCAAAAATTGCATTCATGTTACGTAAGTTTACTTTTTGGTAAACAATAGTCTGTGTCTATGCAGATGGGTAAGTACAGTTGCTGCCTGTTTTTTATACTGATGGTAAAAAGGAAGGGATTTATTTTTCGGAACGACACATATTTATTTAAGTGAATGACTCATTGGAGGCGGCCACTAGTTGAAAAAAAAAAATCAAGTAATTTTATCGTACTTGTTTCAATGCTAAGCTGTAATTTTATTTCCTAGCCAAAGTCAGAGCTGGAGCTGTCTATTTGGGAGAGATATTTGATTTTCGTGTAAATATTGTACCCTGTGACTCATCGGGGCACATTTAATGGAGGAAAAAGGCAATATATGAGGAAATATAGATATTTGGGTTTTTTGGAATACTTCCTTGACTTTTCTGTATCTCTGTGGATTCAGGAGGCATCCGCCCAAACAGGTGCAGACCTTCTGAGGTCGCTAACCCCCCACCACTGCCGCAGGAGAGCACCGACTGGATGGAGATAATGTGGACGTTTGCTGCCAGCCTGGTGGCACCCGACGAGGAAGAGGAGGCGGAAGGTATTCACCAGCTAACTGAAACCGTCACATGTAAGAGCCAACGTCACCCATCACGCTAACGTCAACCATCTAACGCAGAGCAGGATTGTGTCACATTTTGAAAATATTTTCAAACCACATCAATGCAGTATAACGTAGTTGATGGTGAATTGAACACAAACCCATCTGCTGGATCTAATTTGTTAGCTAGCTATGTTGCTAACAATCTTGCTGTCTTGCTAGCTAGCGAGCTACCTTGAACATAAGATAAGATAAGAAACCCTTTATTTGTCTCACACGATCATTTAAAAAGCACAACATTAACCACTTTGCATGAGCACCATTTTACATTCACTAACATTCGCGGCCATTGATTGAAGGTCGAAATTGAGCGGCTCTTTATTTTCTGCCCTTCAGCTTTGCACTCAGAGGAGTTCTGAAAAGCAGAACCTCGAAACGAGAGAGGTCAAGAGACAACTTTGAAGGATGACGCAGAGGGAAGGAGAGTACAAATCGTAGCAATGTTTTTTTTTTTTTTTTTTGTTAGAAAGACGTAACTGAATAAAAATGCAGAGTCCAAAGTCCTTATCATTGCTTAGTTTGGTTACTATTTGACAATCTAGAAAATATACACGTATACCATCCTGGCTGCTCAGTAATTTATGGCAACGATACTGCTAACAAAGGATGACCAACGGAATATATGCCGTGGTCTCACATTGTCCCACTCAATTAAGGGTGAGTACACAACTTGTTGTTTTTACAATATTTTGATTGTCAAATTTGATGTTACCATTACTTTACGTGGTGGCCCACTTTTTACATCTGCGTGACAGCGTTGAAATGTAACATAAGTCACTACATGTACAGTTACGAAAGGTTTTATGACGGCCGCAGTTTGATGCATTACATTTTCCATTATGTTTCTATTTCATTATTGTCATATAGTGAGTATAGAATACGGATGCGTTATTTTCTGTAATTGCTGCCGTCGCGCACCACATTAAAATGCCACCTCTCTCTGACTTTGCATGAGAAGTCACTGCGTGGGAGAGCAGCATTAGAGGCTTGCATCGTAAATCCATAAGAATTAAACAGCTCATTTCAATGGATGACATCATTAGGAGGAATCCGTGTTTAAATAATTCCCCAGAATGTTGCGAGGTTAAAAAAAAAAATAAGAGCTCATGTTTAATTAAAATGAATCTTTGGCACTGTTGGGAATATGTTTGCAGTGTCATAATGTTATTATGGAGATGAAATTACATCTCAGCCACATTTATTACTAGGGGGACTGTGCCGTATTGGCAGAAATTGACCTAAAATTACAATGCTGACAACTTAATCATTCAAGATTCTCTAAAATAAAACATTTAGACAAAAAAAAAAAAAAATTAAGTACAAGAAAAAACATACTACATTTACCGGTAAATGAATTTGATCATTCATTGTGCATGCATTATATTGTTGGTGATGTGTTTTTTTCACAAAATGGTCGTTGTCTTCAAAATAAGCGGGAATGTATTCAAAAAAACATGTCCGTTTTTTTTTTTGGTTTTTGTTTTATGTCATCCAAAATGTAGAAATCCACCATTAACATAACATATGCGTTAGCATGGCAGCAGCAATACACTGCAGCTGTTGATTTAATATCACAGAATCACAACGGAACCATTTCGCTCCAAAATTCAAAATCAAGGCAAACATGGATTATATAACACTCAGACATATTCTTTATCCTCTACGAAGAACGACGAACAGTACTGCGGCTCAGTGACCTCAATATGGACTGTATATGCCGAGGTCTTTATTACACTGCCCCCAAGTGGCCAAGGTGCTCACACCAGAAGGAGCAGCACAATGTCCTGTCATGTCATGTCATTCTGTTAGCGTCCAGCAGGTGGCAGAGGCGTTCTTGGTTTTCCTGCTGCGCACCTGTCTGGCATCACAGTTATTGGAACTATTTAAGGACGCTTTTTGTTTTCTTCACATTATTCCTGGCTTGCTGTCCAACGTTATTATTTGTGCTTTGTAAATAAACATTTTTGGTAGATTAACTTTCCTGAGTCTACATTTGGAGGGTCATATTCTGTCCGGGAACCTTCCGAGCACCCGACATGTCCATTGAAAAGCGGACATCCATCCAATATGAATCCTTTTCAG